TTCGTTTGAGGGTGTTTTTCGGTTGAGGGTGTAGGCCCGTACTACGTACGGGCTGATCTTCGATCATTGTGAAACAACCCGACGGGGCCCGAGTACTCGCCGGATACGCGAAAATCGACGATCTAGCGGAGAAAGGTATCATCCCCGCCGCCTATGTCTTTCACACAAAGAAACTTTTCAGATGGGTCGAAGACTCTGGCGTCTGCAAAGACAAATGCAAGGACTCGATTGTCTCCGCTTGTGCCTATCTCGCCCCAATAATCGACGAGGATAGCCCCGACCCAGCTATTGCCGAGAGACTGAACCTCAAGCACGACGCTGATGTCCAGAATGTCGCGATGTTCATTCATGCCATGATCGATGAGCATGCGTATATCTTTACGATACTCGACGATGCTAAGCTAGAAGAGGCCACTCGCGATATCGACGACGTCGAAGAGGATGAAGACGTGTATGCTAGCATCGCCACCCTCGCCAAGCTTACCACCAACCCCGAGTACGTGGCCACGACGGCGAAGCGCCTCTTCAAGTACTTAATGGCAAAGGGTCCGATCCCTGACAACCACCTGAGGAATCCCGATCAACCCCAACACCATCTCGTCTTGGGTTGCCATCTGATCGCAAGCCGCTATTGCAGCACCCCGAAGAGCGTCGAGGAATTTTGCAAGCTCACCGGTGCGTCTGAGGAGAGGTGTGGCACCTTCTCCCGCACGTTTTCAGAGCTCAAGAAATCCTTCGACCTGGTCAGTTCCAGCGAGCCGCGGGCCCAGCAAGCCATCGTTGCCAACGCACTCAGCCGGTTCTGTTCGCAGTCCCGGGGCACCACTCTCCCCGCCCAGACGGTGAAAGCAGATAAGATCTTCGGCGTCGCCATGGTCACCTGCGCGCCCTTCAAGCGCCTGCAGCTCGACGAGCTCATCATCGCGTCGCTCTGGCTCGCGAGCTACACCTTCCCCAACCCATACCCTTCCCTAGATGCCCTCTACAAGCTCACCGGGCTCCCGCGTCCGGCGGATTCGCTCGACTTAGACAAGGTCCTCAACGACCTCAGAACCGCCGTCGCGCGGGACGCCGCCCGCAACGCTGTCGCGCCCATCGCTCAGAAAGCCGGGCTGCCCATTACCGGAATCCATCAGGCATGCGAAAACTTCGACAGAGCCGCTTTGTGCGACTTTTTCTGGACACGCTCGCAGGAGGCCATCGCGATTGGCGCGGTGTATCTTGCGGCCCAGAGACCTGGCGGCCCGCGCTGGTTGCGCAAGATTGCGGCGATTGCGAAGGGCGTTACGGGGCATGAAGTGGGCCCCGAGGAGCTTGGCCGCACGGTTGGAGAGCTCCAAGCGTGGTTGCAAGTGGTTGGCCCGTTTAAGCCGAGGGAGCCGTTGCTGGAGAGGTATGTGGAGAAGGAGTGGCCGCGCACGCCGGTTTGGTGGGGATCGGATGATTCTGAGGGGGATGATGAGTAGGTTGAAATAGGGTTTCTGGGCGAAGAGGCATGTGAAGGGAGAGTCTATCAGCTATGTCTTATTATCCTTTATAGGCGCAAGTATCTTTAGATCCAGCTTAAGTATATACCTAAGAATACGTTTCTCTTTAAACTCTGTAAGCTTCTTTAAACTACTTCGTAGGCTGGCTCGTTATCGGTCGAGCTCCTTAATTATCTGCGGGCAAAGGAGGAGAGACGCAAAAAAAGGCTGGGTTAGTCCGACACCTACGTGACGCATTCGGTAGGATGGATCTGGGAACCCCTAGCGGCATCAGTCGTGGAAACTGGGTAGAGAAAGAAAAGCATATTAGAAATATCGAAGTCCAGCTCAGGATCCTACGCAAGAGGGGCAATGGGCTGAGGAACAAGGTTCTTTACGGCTGGGGCGAAGGACTGACGACGGCGATGATGAGGGAGATGATCAGGTCAATGAATGAAAGGGTATGGGTAGACTTAGTCTGGTTGTTAAGTACCATGGTTTCAGTCATGGCGTAAATCTAAACTACCCCACATAGACGCCAATTCTCACCAACCTCAACCCAGCCCAGCCAAAGTACCCCCATTGTCCACTACTAAGCTCCAGCTACTATAAATATCGATCCCTGTTTCTAGCTTTGGACTATTCAATCTGGATTACATACCCAAACTAAATGTCTTTTGATGTCCACCTTTAAATCAGACCTCAAGCTCTGGGTGGTATATTCTTACGATCTCGATGCACACCATCACTCTGATCCGCACACGAGCACTTTCCCTTTCCTTGCGGGGAATATTCCTGCTTCAGCCTGAATAGTTGCTGGTGAGAGGACCCTAAGTTGAGAAAGGTTGACGTTCCGGGTTCTCGAAGTTCCGTGGCCCGAATGCAGAACCTGCTCTTGTTCCGGGCAGCTCCTGAACTTGTACCAAAATTGCGGCAGCAATGTGCAACAGTACACCTCAAATTCCTCCATAATTGTCGTAAGGTACACCTAGTCCGCGCATTATACGTTTACTTTATATCAATAAGAATGGCCTCTGCATCAGTGGAAAAACCAAGATACATAAAACTCACATTCTACCTGAAACGCCTGCCTGGTTGCACCGAGGAGAAGTTCCATCGGTATTGGGCTCAGAATCATGCTCAAGTAGCAATGGAACATGACATCTTTAACAAAAATGTCCGCAGGTACAATCAAGTATGTAATCGCACCTTTTCCTAGGATCACACTGAACATCCCAGTCAAGCTAAGTTGGCCAAATAGTATCATATCCCTCCAGAGCTGAAAACTGCCGCGGCGGAAACGGGTATACCAACGCTCGACTGTGATGGCGTGGCGGAGATTTGGGTGGATAGTTTGGAGAGCTGGAAGGAAGTCACGAGCAATATTGATTTCGTGAAGGCAATTGCTGGTGAGTTTGATTCTTGGAATTCGAAAATAGCGAGATGCACTAAAGAATTGTTCAAGCCGACGAAACGCATTTCTTGGCGCAAGATCGAGCGATACTGATTGGGTATGATAATTTAATCATTGGAAAGGATGTTTTGTCGTAGTTGGTGGGATAAAACGACGCCCACTTCTTCTTCACTACTCTGCTCGACGCATGGAATATTCAATTCGCTCAGTATAGCTCGTACTATCCGGCATTTGCACTCTCCAATTTACTTAGCAAGCCAAGTAGGGGAAATAATTTACGAAATTCCCCAAACCCAGGAATAGAATATCTAGTGGGGGCTTTAAAGAGGCTGAACATGAGTTTCAGACCCCAGTTTGGACGCTCACCCTGCATCGAAAAGCTCGAAGCTGATAGGAGGGCGTTCTCGTTCATAGCTCACTTCTCCTTTATGTCAACTTTCGTAGCGATCCAATCCAATCCAGTTCAACCATAAATCACGTGATACATCCTCTGATTCGACGTCAACCATATCCAAACCTACGAATCCCCAATCTCCCTCAGATATTGGATTCAACCCCCCTACCCCTTCAACCCCCCATCAATCTCCACCACACTCCCATTCATATACCTACTTTCCTCGCTAAACAAAAACATCACCACCTCCGCAATCTCCTCCGGCGTCCCCATCCGCCCCAGGGCGTTCCCTTTCTCCATCCGTGTGATGAACTCGCCGCCCTTCACTACCCCGGCGTTGGTAGGTGTGTCGATGTAGCCCGGGGCGACGACATTGGTGCGGATGCCGCGTGGGCCGAGCTCGAGCGCCATGGATTTCGAGAAGCCGATTATGCCGTATTTTGTTGCGCAGTAGATGGCGTGCATGGCAGTGGGACGCAGGCCGGAGATGGAAGAGACGTTGACGAAGGAGGCGTTGGGGGAGACTGTGGTGGAGGTTAGTAGGGTTGGAAAGTGGGGGGAAGGGGGAGGGATTGGGATGGGCTGAGGATGGTTGAAAGCTCGGGACGTGAGCGTTAGTCTAATGGCATGTGCTTGGATCTTTCGGGGGTGTTTCAAAGCCGCTTCAGAAATTTTAGGTGTCGACTCGAGGACGCTGAGTACTCCGAGAGTCCGAAGAGTGCTCAGTAGGGAGACGTTCATGTCCTTCAGATATCTGAAAATGTGTTGAAGCAACCCCGGCAGCAGCATAGAAGCTTCAGAAGACGAGGGTTGTAGTGCTAGAACAGACCGTGCTGAATGAATGAATGTGTGCTGAACAACTTACGGTGGGGTATCACAGCCCTCGTGACGTTGAAGAGGCCGCGGAGGTTCGCGTTCATAAGCTTATCGTAGTAGGCATCCGTGAGCTCCTCAGTAGGTATGGAGGTTGGATTTACGCCCGCGCAGTTGAAAATATGGTTTATCCCATTTGGGTACTTGGAAGCGAGATCATTAACCCACGTCGTCACGGCTTCTGAGGAGCCGATATCGAGGGATTTGAGACCGAGATGTTCGTTTACGAAAATTAAAGTAGCAGTCTCTTGCAGGCCAGCTTCATTGATATCTGTCAGTTCTAGGTTTGCGCCATGTTTTGAGAGCAAGATGGCGGTGGCCCGGCTGGGAGGGGTGGTTAGCGTGCAGTTCGATTGAGATACTAGGGGTAATAGCTTTGGTGATTTACCCAATGCCGCTGCCGGCTCCTGTTATAAGAACGACCTTTCCTGCAAATTTACCAGACATTTCATAGATGTTCGTGGTGTTGCAGGAATGATTGTCGAAAGTGGGGGAAGACGGAGATATAGCGGACGTCACGTGATCGTGCTGAAAATGAAAGCCATTCCGCATGTGGGAATTCTCCAATCCGATTTGCACTGCCTAGACTCGAGCGTATTCAAATTCCTGATAATGCGCCGGAGTGCCTCAGGCAGTAGCAAACAGGAGGATACAGACCTTTGTCCAGCACCAGAACATGCCTCAAAGGCACGTGACATGGACGACCAAACGACCTCGGAGGCACGCGGGGCATGGAAAAGGTGACACACTAGCTCTAGAGCAAGCTGCCTCGTGTGTCCACCTGTCTGCCACTGCTTGGGTTGTTTCAGTGTGCTTTTTAGGAATCTACAGAAGATAGAAGCTCTTCGCCTTGGGCTATGTGGAAACTTGTTGAAGCACTTAAGCAGTGGTAGACAGGCGCACCTATGAGACAGCCTGGCTGATGAGTATTAATAGAAAGTGGCAGTCCACGAATCTGTGAGGCATATACACGCTGTTTCTATACTTGTGTCCATTTGTTTAGCACCGCTTGAGGTCCTTGAGTATGCTATTGTTATTCATAAAGACCAGCATTAGTAAGCCTGATAGCTCTCTGAATGACCTCAGACGGTGTTGAGCTGCGGAGTGCGCCACCTTTTTAATGCCCCGCGGTACCTTGGTCGCTTGCGGCCGGAGGCGGGAGAGGGGCCGGAAACAGCCCTATTCGGGCATTGGTAACAGCCGCAGAAAAATCCAGGGTCCAATGACGTCAGGTTTCCGATGCGCTCATCGCCAGCAACAACCGGCGCCCACCACCAAACTTCCGCCAAACGCCATGAATCCACCACCTTAGCAAACATAAAACTTCATGGAGAATCTGGATCGGCTTACGGCCGCCGGCTGTTCGCTCTACGACCTCAATGCCGAGTATCTCGATCAGACCGATTGGTAGCCAATCCGAATTCTTTGTCCGCGCTGTAGAAACAAGACATGCTAAATCGTGTCGTGCAGGTCTCAAACAACACTCGGTCCTCACGAGGACTGGTCTCAGACCCTCACGTGCTATGTGAACCTCATTACTACCTTTCCACATCCGGCATGCGTCTTCTGGGGCGATGACCTCTCCATCATACACAATCTTGCCTGGGGCAAGGCGACGGGTAATTTGGATGGACAAGGTATCCGGGCGCATGATGCCTTCGAGGGAGAGGCCCTGGGGTGCATCAAAACGAGTGTGCGGGGGCATACGGTCAAGGTCGGTAAGCACACCGCGAGTTCCGCTACAGCGGCCGGTATAGGAACTGACGTAGCATTCGGAATATAGCAAGCAGGTTCTTCCTACCGAATACCCCAGACTACGGCCCAGAAGCTACAATCATCATGAGTACCCTCCTCGAGTCCAACGGCCATCGCACCGGCGTGTTTGCTCAGCTACTACAGAATGCGACCGTCGAGCGCTCCATATCATGGGCTGGGCTTTCGAGGAAGCATAGCACCGCTACACGGACAAAGGGCTCGGGGACCCAACAAACGGGAAATAAAGACCACCAAGTCGATGAGAAACAGACTCAGCTCTTCCAGCGTTTCGCGGAGCTCCTTCCGAACGGCCTCGCCATTCTGGACTCGGAAGCCGAAGCGGTCTTCGTTAACGATGGATTTTTCAAGTTGACAACAAATAAGCCGAGCAAGGACTTTCGTGCCTGGCCAGAGAGTATCGATCCCAGAGACTACGAACGTGTTATGACGGCATATCGGAGAGCCTTTTCGGCACGAGAGGAGTTACGGGTGGAATTCCGGTCTTTGTCAGAGGATGAAAGCGAGCAGTGGAGGTTGTTTCTACTGAAGCCACTAAGCGAGGAGGTCGAAGCCGGATTTATCTGTGCTCTGGTGGACATTACAGAGATCAAGTGCGCGGAGATTGCGCAGGAGAAAGTCGCAAGTAATGCGCAGGAGAGGAAGGAGCAACAAGAGAGTGAGTTTTCGATTGTTCTAAGCAAAATATCGAGATCATGGCTGACTCCACACAGGGTTTATTGATATGGTATCCCATGAGGTACGCATGTTCAGATATCCGTTAAGAAGAGCATGTAGACTGACAGGTGGCAGATTCGGAACCCACTCAGCGCTGTCCTCCATTTAGCGGAAGAAATCAAGGATGTATCCACCGAGATCTCAAAAGTGGTCAAAGGGCAAAAGCAACAGCTCGAAGACATCAAAGATGCGGCCGAAACTATACTTTTGTGTGTGTCACATCAATCCGTGCTCGTCGACGACATTCTATCATTCTCCAAACTCGACTCGATGATGCTCTCCCTCATTCCTCGGGTCGTCCAGCCGAAATGGGCTTTCTCCACATCGCTCAAAGTCTTCAACTCTGAATTCAAAGCTAAGAAAATCGAGTTTGAGTACGTTATGGACATTTCGTACCAGACCCAAGAAATCGACTATGTAGTTGCCGACATCAATCGCATAAAGCAAGTACTTGTGAATCTTATCACCAATTCGATCAAGTTTACAGCCAGAAAGCATGGCGAAAAGAAGATCACGGTGACGATGGGTGCTAGCTTGAAACGCCCGACAAGCTACCCGCCGAACGTAGTATTCTTCGACTCGGAAACCGAAGCATTCCATATGGACTCCACGATGAGTAGCGATTGGGGAAGTGGGCAGTCGCTCTACCTTATGGTTGCAATCAAGGATACTGGAATTGGCATCAGCACAGAAAATCAGATCAAGCTATTTGAGCGATTCAGACAGGCCACACCGAAGACGCAGGAAAAATATGGGGGCTCTGGGTTAGGCTTGTTCATCTCTCGCAAACGTAAGCCAAATTCCTCGCTGTCTCCCTGTTGAGCTCTTGGCTGACACATATCCCAGTCTGCCAACTCCACGGCGGCGACATTGGCGTTAGTAGCAAAGAAGGTGAAGGCAGCACATTTGCCTTCTTCTTCAAAGTTCGCCGTTCGGACGGGCCCTCCGAGTCCGGCCGCCCTTCTCTTTCCCGTGGCGCGTCCATGAGATCGTCCCGAACGGCCTCCAGCAGTACTATTCCGCAAGTCCCCTCCCCCCGCCCATCTCAACTCTCTCCCCGCCCGTCATATAGCAGGAGCAAGTCCGCCGTCAGTCCATCCGCCTTCAGCAACAGGCCAGCCTATAACAGGAACACGTCTACCATGAGCATCGACACGGTCCTGGAGAGGGGACCTAAGCCATGGGAATTTGATGATACAAACGAGAGTCTCAGCCCAAGTAGCGCAAGGAGTAGTCTCAGCCCAAGCAGCGCAGGAAGCCAGAGGCCAAAAATTGTTAGTATAAGCTCGCAGCCTGGAGTAACGGGAGAAGACATCCCGAAGACTCTTAAAGATCCGCCAGTTGAATACAGGCTCGAGGCACACCCGGACGAGCATGACAGTGATCGCTACGAGGAATCTGCGAAGGTGTCAGAGCTAGTCGATAAAACCATTGAGGATGACCCAGAGGATCTGAGGCGGAAGTTACCTGCAGGGATAGATCGGAATACTGGGCAGAGCAAACGGCAGCAGAAGAGGGAGGAGAAAGAAGAGCCCACTACGACAAAAAAGATAGGCAACACCAAAGCTACTAGCGTCTCTGATGGCATAGATGCATCAACCCAGCTCCCAGAAAAGGAGGAAGAGCCGAAGCCCACCCTCCTCCTTGTCGAAGACAACCTCATCAATCAGAAAGTCCTCAAGCGCCAACTACAATCCAGAGGCTTCGTGGTCACGACGGCGAATAATGGCCAGGAGGCTATCGATGTCGTTAGGGCCCTCGCTGAGTCCTCAACCTCTTATGCTGTCAGCTCTTACCATTCCTTGGCTCATGCTCTCCCTACGCCGTCTCCTTCTCCACCAGCTCATGATTATCTCACGTCCACCAAGCTTCCATCCTTCTCTTGTATCTTAATGGACCAAGAAATGCCCGTTATGGATGGCAACTCCGCCACCCTCGTCATCCGCGAGCTCATGGAGGCGGAAGAGGTGGGCTGGGGTCCTATTGTCGGCGTCTCCGCCAATGTTCGCGAAGAACAGCGGTCAGAGATGCTGGGTGCGGGTATGGATGAAGTCATTTCGAAGCCTTTCAAAGTTGACGAGCTGGTCGCCCTGGTGAAGAGAGTAATGCGCAAAGGAGAGAGTCTAAGGAAGGCAATTGTGAGGGATCCAGAGAGCGCGGGAGAGAGCACGGAGACGCTTGTGCCGGCCAAACAGGGGAAAGAGGGAGTGGAGGGGTTTCAATTGTAATGAGTTGGGTAAAGAAAGGAATGGGAAAAGGATGTATCACTATGGATTTGATGGAAAATAGGAATGAATTGATGGGTGGCGGCTTAGCGGTGGCGTCTAGGTTTGATGCTATTTGTACAGGTATGTCGTGATCAGGCCATTCAATCTAGGATTTATCTCTATTTTACAGCTGCGAATCATGCGTTTCACCGCTTTGACCATTGATCAAGGTGGGTCGCCCTTTTCTCCCTCTACCCTTGTCCTCTTGCCCGACTGCTAAGCTCGCTGGGGCACCTCAAGCGACGTCAAATAATGTGACTTCCGGCCAGGCATCATGTTACCGCCGCGGCCTAAATTTGAATATGTGAGGAGGGCTTCCCTCTGCAGGTGTCGTACTCGTATTTTATTATTCTCATTCTCAACTTCGTCTCTCAAAATTAAATGGCTAACTAGTTTAGCGTCACCGATGTCATCTCGGGCGTTGACTACTAGGTTCAGCCGGGCGCCACTTCGTATATAAGTACGTGTTTGCGCCAAGACATCACGCCCTTTGCATTACATTCGCGCCCAAGCCGAATATTAGCGTTAACCAGAATTTTAATATATTGAACTAACCATATAAGTATTCAGAACTCCTTAAATTGAGATGTATTCTTCGTGTTCCTTGCCCTCAACATTTCCGACATAATCCTCCTCGTGGATCGCCTCAGCACCACCACGAACATGCAACCCCCAATCCCTAAGGTAGAAGACTATGGTATGAGCGCTACTACCGGCTTCCTACCTCCCAAGCCGCCCCTGGCTCATCTCTACGACCCTTACTACGCCCCATGGGAATCTATCATCGCTAACCTCCCTCACCAAATCTCCTCGAAGAATATCCGCTCCTCCATCCATACCCTACTTATCCTATCTACCACCAACCTAACCACTAAAGCTGAATACCAGCGCGCCTTCACCCTCCTCACCTTCCTCGCCCACGCTTACATCTGGGGCGAGCGTCCCCCCGCCGAACGGCTTCCCGCCGGGCTCTCCATCCCGCTCCTGGAGGTGAGCGAGAAGCTTGACATCCCACCAACCATCACATACGCGGCACTATGCCTCTGGAACTTCCGGACCCAGCAAGGCGCAACGCTAGATGATCCAGCCAACTTGCAAGCACTGCACACCTTCACAGCAACCGAAGACGAGAGCTGGTTCTACATGATCTCAGTCGCTATCGAAGCCCGCGGCGCGCCGATCATTCCCAGCTTACTCGCCGCAATCGACGCGACGAGGAAGGGCGATGTGCCGGCCTTGACCACCCACCTGGAAAGGGTAGCGGAGGTTCTGGGGCAGCTGGCACCGCTGCTGCGACGTATGCACGAGCGGCTCAGTCCCCAGATCTTCTACCACGATATCCGCCCCTTCCTTGCCGGCAGCCGGAGCCTTCCCAGCGGCCTGGTCTACGGCGTCGGCCCTGCCACGGAGGAAGAGGGGAGAGTGGGGCGGTACGGGGGTGGGAGCGCGGCGCAGAGTTCGCTGTTCCAGCTGTGCGATGTTGTGCTGGGGGTTCAGCATGGCGACGCGGCTGCGGTTGTTGTGAAAGAGATGAGGGAGCTCATGCCTGGTGCGCATCGCAGGTTTTTAGAGGATGTTGGGGCTGTAGCGGGTGTTAGGGAGTTTGTTGAGGGGAATGAAAGGGAGGCTGGGTTAGCTGCGGCGTATCGGGCGTGTCTGGAGGCGCTAAAGGTGTTTAGGAATGGGCATATTAATGTTGTTACGAGGTATGTTGTCCTGCCGGCTAAGAAGGAGGTGAAAGAAGGGGGGGAGGGGGAGGCGAAGGGGACAGGTGGGGCGCCGGTGATTGGGTTTTTGAAGCAGATGAGGGATGAGACGGTGGGATAGGTGTGAAAAGGACGGTGGGGCACCGGCGATTAGGTTCTTGAAGCAGACGAAGGACGATACAACGGGGCAGAATTTGAAAAGGGCCGGGGCCTCTGGTTCCGAGAGGGTGCTACGAGAGTGGTTCTCGCGGCGCAGTTTCTTTGGGGAACGTCGGCTGACGCATGGTGCGGACTACCGACGTCGCTTCAAGGAGTACTTATCCACTGGGTGTAACCGGGGACCCAGAGTCATGGTCTGGTGCTCAATAAAAAACTGCCGATAAGTGTTTCCTTAAAATACCAGTCGGTGCTTGTTGTCCCGTGGTTCTATGTCAGAGTCTCTTCATTGGGAGTTTGCCCTGCGGAAGCTACCTGTCACCATTCCAAGAAAGAAAATGATGTTGCAAAGGTGTCGTGGGCCGCGACGTGCAAAATCCCATCGATTGGTCCACCAAGCAGACTGAAGTTGCACATGCCGCTGGAATGATTCTATGTATCATGTTTGGATGCGGCGAAGTCATCGAAGCCTGAGCAGCGCTCCGCATAAGTGTTACGGACGAAAACAATCATGTTGTCCGCCAGCAAAGAGCTCATCGACCCCTTGCGTGGGCATGCCAGGCTCTCAATATCCACCGCAAAGCACGCGTACAGATAGCAACACCATGGAGCACAGCTTATCCTCAGAATGGTATTCGTTCGCTTCTCCACAGTAACTCGGTCCCCCGCAGCGGAGAGAACTGGTATAATGCTCATAAAGGCTTTATATCTCCAGGACCGAGTGCATCCATCACTACTAAGCTCTACTCTGAACCTTGCCGACTATTCCTACTTTTTCATCTTCGTCAAATCATGTCTTCCGCTAACTTCATTGGGACTGACAATCATTACCAGCCATTCGCAGGGTCAGTTCTAGGCCGGACCTTTGCCAACACCAGGTTTCCGATCACAATTACCATCACTATCACCCTCATCCTCCCCCTCCTCATCAGATACACCATCGCCCGGCTAGAATACTACCACCAACGCCGCCACATCTCCCCTACCCAACTCCCCCCCACCTATCCATGCTTCATCCCCTACATCGGCCACCTCCTCTCCCTCCTCATCTCCGGCCCCACCTTCCTCCAACGCGCCACGTAAGTCCCAACCCTTTCTCCACCCTCCAACCCCTTCCAAACCTCCCCCACTCACCGCTCCCACAGCACCCACGCCGGGCACCTAACCTCGACCCGCCTCACCCTCCTCACCACCCCGCTCTACCTCTTCCAAGACCCCGCCACCGTCCGCGCCCTCTGGAAGTCCCCCGCGCTGTCCAGCCCCCTGTCGTCGTATGTCTACGTCCTGGGCCGCATCTTCGGCATGCGCTCCGCCGCGCTCGCGGCCTATCGCGCCGACGACTCCGGACCCTTTCTGAAACCGTACTCGGGGAGTGCGGTGCTGGCAAAAGATCGAATAGACTACATCACGCATGCGGACTTGCTGAGGGAGTTGACGGGGGTGGGGTTGGGGCCGTTGACGAGCAGGACGGTGAGAGGGGTTCTGAGCCGGGTGGGGGAGGCGGAAGCAGAGTTATACGGGGGATGGGTGGAGAAGGCTGATCTCTTCAAGCTGCTGCGAGGGGTCGTGGGGACGTCGATTATGGAAGCGCTGGCGGGGCCGGCGTTGTTGGAGCTGAATCCGGGCTTCGTGGAAGATTTTTGGGAGTTTGATAAGAGTGTGCCGTGGTTTGGGCATGGGATTCCGGCGTTTCTGATGCCGAGGGCGGTGAGGCGGAGGGAAAGGTTGAAGGGGATGTTGAAGAGGTGGTATGGGTATGCGAGGGAGCGGTTTGAGGAGGGGATGGTGGGCGAGGATGGGGACGGGGATCCGGCGTGGGGTTCCGAGCTTATGAGGAGAAGACAGGAGAGGTTAAGAGAGGTAGCGGGACAGGATGAGGATTCGATGGCGGCGAGTGACTTGGGGTTGGTGTGGGCGTGAGTTGGGCTCTCTTCTCGCCTCCTTCCTTTCCTATGCTTGTCTCTTCGAAGTTGATACCGAAGCGTCCTGGTTGACTCTTGAACATAGCTCTGTCGCAAACATCGTCCCCTCGACTCTAATGGCGACGTTCCACCTCTTCGCTCAACCAGGGCTCCTCGACTGCGTCCGCGCCGCCATCGCTCAAGGTAATTGTCGAGTTGAAGGTTCAGGATTCGACCTCAAGGCTCTCATGCAAATCCCCCTCCTCGCCTCCATCTACGCCGAGACCCTCCGTCTCTACACAAACTCCTACTTCGCCACCCGCTCCCCTCACTCTGCCACCTCGCTCGGCCGATGGATGCTCCCGAAAGATGCGATCGCGATGGTCAATTCGCGTGTCTCTCATATGGATTCGGGCGTTTGGAATGCTGCCCATCCCTCGTATCCAGCGCAAACATTCTGGGCAGATCGGTTCGTCAATGCGGAGGGAGAGTTCTCGGCGGAGGGGTTTGAGGGGAGTTGGATACCGTATGGAGGTACGTAGTCGTTTTTCGAACTTGGGCGGATAATCTGTTAATCTCGATAGGCGGACACGCGATATGTCCTGGCCGATTCCTGGCGAAGACTGTCATCATCCTTGTGATTGCGTTGATGGCGGAGCGGTTTGACGTTGAGATCTTGAACAAGTCGGTGGACATGGATATGGGGAAGCTTGGGCTTGGTGTTTTAAGGCCGAATAAGGCGATTGGGTTTAGGATTAGGAGGAGGTATGATGGTAGAGGTCAGGTTGAAAAGTAGGAGACCTTGATAATTGGAGTTTAGGGAAAGAATAAACTTGGTGCTTCGTGGGTTCTACAGCTAGCGACAAAGGCTGAGTCAATCTACCAACTACTAGATTAAACACAGTCTTATTCTTTTAGCTGTAGGCGGAGGCCGCCCTCGTTGATGGCCCTCCGGGCCCTTTCTGTAAGTAAAATGATCAGGGAACATTGTCGGGAACGCACGAAGTAGCCTCAACACCTATCCCCACAAACTCTGCTCTGGAATGAGGAGAAGGGTGATAGCTTCCAACTAACAGAGGTTCTATGAGCCATGTTGACTGGTGATAATTTGAATCAGCGGTAACTGCAGTGCACCAAGCAGGTTCAGAAGTTTGACAAATTGACAAACACCAAGCTGAGGAGATAACCCGTTAGCGAATTCGCATGGACAAAGTCAACACAGCTCTCGCGCATTGTGAACGAGAAGTTGGTGTAGAGAGTCTAGCACGTGGTCCAACGCTTTGAGGCGCCCCCGACCAGTGATCGAGTGAGTGTATCAACCGTTTCAGCCGTGAGTCACGAGCGATAGAATCAATCATTTAAAAATTCAGCAATGCGCACATCTACTATACATGATCCTTAATACTCATATTCATAGAACAGTTTCTCAACAAGTGCTTCTACTGATATCTCGCTTTGCTCATAGAGATATCTAATCATACTACATCGAAGCCCTCATCTTATTCGAAACGTCAACATGTCCAACGAAGCACGAAACACAATGCTCCCACCACCACCAGTAAGATCTCCGTAAGCGCTTTCAGAGACCCACCAACTAACCCACCACAGCCCATCGATCCCCGCCTCCTCAAACCAGACCCAGGCACTCCCCCAAACCCATCAACCCCCCAACTCGACAGCAAACCCCGAAGCCACAAGAAACGCCGCCTAGACCTCCCAGAACCCCCGATACCCCCACCCTTAAAGCGCTCCCCCTACGCCCCAACCCCAACCACTCTCCCGGGCTTCCTGACCCTAGACGAGTTCCGCCAGCCCCACCCCCCCGGCCTCCGAGACACCCAGGCCTCTCAGTCGCTCCTGCACCCCTCGGCGCGAGAAGCTCCAAACCAGCGCGCGCTCGAGCGCATCCACCTCTTCCGCAACCTCTGGCGTGTCTGCATACAGGACCAGTACCCCATTTCTAACAGCTTTAATCTAGCCGCTACGTGGCAATGGTGGGACGACTTGCTCGCCCGCCACGGCTTCGGTTCCGAGAAATATATCGCGTCGTGGATCGCTGATATCGGGAACGAGATCAGGGAGGCGAAGGAGAGGCGGAACGGGGTGTTTGAGGCGAAGTTTGAGGGGAAGGAGAGGAGGGAGATGTTATTGGAGAGTCTGATGGCGGGACGGGTGAGGGAGAAGGTGGATAGGGTAGTTGCGGTTGGGATTGCGAGGAGGAGGTTGTTGGAGCATTTGGGGGAAGTGTGGGGGGTGGAGAGGGAGAAGGCGGGGAGGTTGGTGGTGGCGATTTCGGGAGGGATAGGGGGATAGGGGAGGTGGGTTAGGTTGAGCTTTGAGTTTGGAATCAGAGATGAATGAATGTGCTTGTGTTGTATGTTTGACTGATTGAGGATTTCATATATTACGCGAAGCATTGAAAATGATTGACATCACGTGAGCATGGTACAGAAAATTTGGGAGAAAGTGGTATCATTTTCTACCTGAGCGTGGTTCATAGATAGCGCACAGGCCTCTTTAGATTCTATTTACCTAATACCGATGGCGGTGCTAGATTTGGGGTGCAATTATCACATCCTCTTCTCAAAGATACGTCTCACCTATTATCGGTCCCCGATGATAGTGGCCCTGGGTCTGTGTGACCATGATGTGCCTTCACCTCATCATCTAAAGCATTAAAGTCGCGATGACGAATCGTGGGTGAAGTTGGGGTGTGGTTTGCCCCGGACCCTTCAAACCACTCAAGCGGGATCGATTCGAACCCGGATTCGTCTTCGTGTTCGTGCTCAATATCGCGCCGCGCCTTTGTCTTGCGCCTGTAGTGGATGCAGAGAAGCACTGTGAGGACCGTAGCAACTGGGAGCACCAAGACGACAGTCGCGATGATGACTGTGGTGTTGCGCCGCCGTGCGCTGAAGAGAGAGTCACCTGGGGGCGTGCCAGGTGAGGGTGTGAAGCAAGCGGCCTTAAACTCAGGTTAAATTGATGTGAACTCTGATTTCTATAGACGTCTAGCTAGTT